AATTATAATTGCTAAGAACTTGGAATATACAAAAAGATCCAACGAACTAAGTTCTAGGAACAAGGGCTATAGTTCAGTGGTGTAGCATTTGCCTAGGATGTGCAAAGCCCTGGGGTTGGACTCCAGCATTCTAACAACTGTAATAATAACCTTATAAAGTTAAATACAGTTGATGTTTGTCTTCTGTACCTTTCAGACATCATATACTTAAATCAAGTACTATATAAAACATGCGTTTTCTTTTTTTCCCACTGATTCATTTAACAAGTCATTTACTGCTCTTTGAAAACAGTTTGAAATGTATTTATCATACTTGCAGCTTTTCCACAATCTATATGACTATTATGTTTTGGAATGTAACAGATCACCATTACAATTAACGTATTGCAAATACTGTCTTAGTAATACCCTCACACCTAAAACAATATAAACATACTAATTCTAGGACAGATTTCCAAGAATGGAGACAATTGGCTCGGCAATATCAACTTCCAAAAGCTCTGGATACATGTAGGTGGACCTTCCTAAAAGTTACATTCAGATCATTTCCATGCCATGCTGCAGAAGACACAGCTTATCACTGATCATTCTTCACAAAAGGAGGTTTGTGTGTATTTTATACAAGTTTAAGAGTGATGCCCCGGTGACAGAAGTCATGAGCAGCCAGGTCCCATAGCTGTCACTACTAGGTTTTCACAATAACCGCACAAAGGAGGCCTCTGTCACTGTAAAGGAAAAACCGGGGCTCATTCCGACAGCCCATCTCCTAAGTCCTTCTCCTCACGATCCCTTCAACTTCAAGAACTGCGGCAAGGCAGCAGATATGTGGGTGGTTCTCTCACTCCCTCCTTCTTTCCTAACCGGCTGTGTGCGACAGAGCTCTTCCCAAAGTGTGAGCAGAGGTGTCATCTGTGCCTGCATCCAGCTGCCTCAGTGGAAAACTGAGCTAATTCTAGAAGACTGATGATCCAGAGTTGTGAGGGTTCACTCACAATGGAAGCCATTCCCGAGACAGTTCTCCTCTTCATTAAGGAGCAGATCAGTACATCTGAATGGCATGATCGTCTGTGTGTGTGCGTGTGCGTGTGCGTGTGCGTGTGTGTGTGTGTGTGTACATACAGTCTTGGGTGTATAGGTGCACATGTATGTAACTCCACGCACAGCTGTTTACCTGCCATCTCCCACTTCTTTACCCCAGACAGGCTCCCTCACTGACCTAGAACTTACCCAGTAGGTTATATGAGCTGGCCCACAAGCTCCAGGGACCCACCTGTCTGGGCTTCCTCACACTGGATTACACGCTTGTGCCACTGTGCTTGGCTCTTTGAAATGTCGGTTTTGGGGACTGATCTCAAGTTCTTGTGCTTGAATGGTGGTCAGTACTTCGACGACTGACCTCCCTCACCCATAAATGCTAACCTTTCAGAACAGCTTCTTAAAGGGGCACCGAGAACAATGAGCCAGCTTTCAAATGGTCACTAGGACAGGCACACGAAGTGGTCCTTTCTTACCTTAACGATTAATCCTTTTGAGTCAACCAGCCATATCTTTTTTTTGGCTTTCTCCTTTGATAAACCTTCTTTCTCCATGGCCATAACAATCAGGTGAGCGATCCCCAGGGCAGCCTGAAAAGAAAGTATAAAAATAAAGATTTCTACACTTGTCCCACAGTCTTCTTGAGGGTAACAAACTTATCATTTTGTCCATTAGTAAGGAATTTTAAAACACTCTGCCACTGAGTTTCAGAGCTTTAGTCACTGATTCGAATGAGGAGCTCAGCAGTTTCGTCACATTTGGGTGTGCAAAATGACCGCTATTTACTCCATACACAACCACTGCGAACAGCTGGCTCGTCAGCACAGACATGCCAGTGACACCCTGATTGTCGGTATATCTGACTCTAGTTACACAACCAGGACCGACACAACACGAAAACACTACATTTAACACAATCGACTGCCAGCCTGGCTCACTGGACCATATGGCTTACTGTCAGGAAGACATCCTCCAACTGAGCTTGAATACAGAAGCGAGCTCATTTGACAAGATCTTGACAGCATAAAACCGAAAGGAAATATGTGTTGCCCAGTGTTTATTCACTCTCTTAATTTACTCAAAGAGAGCACTGCGAAATCTCTCCCAATATTAACGAAACCATCTTATTTGGAATTTGATGAAGTCTGTGATAATCTGTGACATGCCACAGACCTCACCTTTTCAGGAACAAACCAGGGTCCACAAGTCATCCAACCAGGAATATTGTTTTTCCCGTTGAGAATCAAGAATTGACCTGTGTCATTCACCAGAAACTTGTGGAACTACAGAGGGGCTTACCAGAATAGAGCTAACATGTCGGGGCTGTTAGGTATGTTGGATTGTAATTTCAGTTTGAAAGGAATGTTTCATGTACTCACTTTAGCTCTAGCTCATATGTTTAATTTCAAAATAAGCAAAATGAAAACACATCATGTACACATTTCCACCCATGTAACAACTTGTTTTCTTTATAGTCATATTAAGTTTAATTTTTTTTCTCAAAATGACTATCTAGCCATTGTATTTTCTCATTTTTGAATTCTGAGAGATTTGAAATTTTTCTCATAAGAAAATTAACATTTTTATTCTGTTTGGGAGGTGAATTAACTTTTTTCTCTTAAATGAGTACTGGCAATGATTTCAATAAACTATGTAATTTGGTCTTACACAATTTTTTCCAATGATTTCAAATGTCTTGGTTATAATGTTGAATATTTTTGATGTACTATGTATCTTTAATATAAAATTATTTTGTTAAAAACAATTACAGTTATGTATGTACAGGTTGGACTGTGTGTGGGGCTGGGAATACTTATGACTATGACAGTGGACGATAAGTATACTAACTTCAATTCATTGAGGTTGCCATATGCAACACACATTGGTGACTTGATTCTGTATCAAGCCTTAAACATGCATAACAAACTCTAGGGTAATATTTGATAACTTCACAAATTTAAACTGTTAAAATGATTTACACTTCCCAAATCTCCTATAATGATGCAAGATGCCTTAAAACCTGTAGAATCTTCCGTCTACAGCTGTACTAGACCACTACGAGAGCACTCAGGACCTTAAGCACTGAGCTAAAGCTAGCCACACGTTAGCGAGACGCAGTAAGCACTACACAGTTAGGTACCTCTCCAGCTCCCTGGAACAGCACTGTCTGATCAGAGAGCTTGTTCTTGGTTATTCGAAGAGCTGCAAGGAGACCCGCAACCGCAACGGACGCTGTTCCTAAAACAAGTGATAAATATCCTTGAGCAATCCTCAGATGGATCCTGCTGGCGTCTAAGCTTTTATCCCCAACTCTAAATCACCACATGACTGACAGGTTAACAGAGACAGAAAGAGAACCGTGTGTCTGTCTCCACGCCGGCCTATGAGGCAAGATTAATAGGCTAGGGACATTAGTATTTTAAGACAGTAGCTTAAATCTTTGAAATCTCCCCCAAAAGGGGACCCTGGGACTTGCTTTGATGGTGGGTAACAGCATGGGCCTGGGTTCTGTTTGGTTCCCATTTTTGTTTTTAAATTTTTAAGGTAGGGTCTCATGTAGCCCTGGCAGGACTTAAACTCTGCATGTGCCCAGGATAGCCTCAAACTTGCAATCATCCTGCTTCAGCCTCCTAAATATTGGGATTACAGGAATATAGCACCATGCCTTGCTAGAGTTTGGATATGATGTGGATTTCAGTTCACCCTGCTTACTAGCTAGAAGAATTTAGAGAAATAACTTTGTGATCTGTTTTACTCATTTGTAAAATGGTATTATTGTATGACACAGAAGAGCATTTTTCCCACCTAAATGTTCTCAAGGCTTTGAAATCCATTGTTGGTTCCTCACACAAAGGAGGTACACAGTAAATGCTTGCTCTAATGGGGAAGTGGCAATGGTGTTTCAGATATATTTAGAATTTAATGTTTAAATTTGAAAATTGTCCACTAATAGCGATTGAAATCTGGTTTCATTGCAATCTTTGTCTTTCTACCTATAATTCCCATGAGACCCCTAGGTCTAACTGAATGCATGTGAAGTAGGGTGAGGTCGTTCTCATTCCACCACAGCTACGAGGTGGCACCAGTCTAATCACAGACTTCACCACAGCCCAGAGCAGGCACTAGCACTCTGGCTCTAAACATGACTACACAGCTCAATCTCTTCATGGTTCACTCCTGAGACAGAACTGCAGTTTCTTGCAATGCCTTCCAGCTTCATGAACATTTTACACCTTCAAGATAACATTCTACTTTTTCAGTATCGCTCAGGTGAGCAGCAAAGTCTAGACAAAGTTTGAATACCTTTACTTGGTCAAATCTAGATCTGACAAGATGCAAATAAGACCACTGCAGTGTTTATGAGCTGTGGCAAGGCATACACTGCGCAAACCATTGTTTTGTACGTAGTGTAAAGTGGAGTCTAAAGAGCTGACGATGTGACTCAGGGCAGAACGTTTGTCTAGTGCACAGAAGGCCTGAGTTAAACCCCCCAAAACCACAACAAAAGAAATCCTGTACAAAATACAGCTGATTTATATAGGAAATATGCCACGATGTCTGCCTTGTACACCAAGACACGCTCATGAGAACTGTTAACAGATGAAATGAGGGAGGAATAGACATCCAGTTACCATATTAAGTAATTACTCACAAGCAGCATCACAAATTAGCTTTTCTTGGGTTCTTCTGATGAAAATCAGTCCAAAGTTAGATGTGAGGAATTCTAAGTTCACTCCCAACTCTGGGATCATATAATTCCAAGATATCTACTAATTGTCACAAGATTTAACCAGCTGGAAAGTCAATGTTGGAACATTACCAGCATCACTACTTGGTGTTATTCTGGTTTTTATTTTGTTTTTCATGGAACTGGACACTTGGAGACAGACAGATGAGGTTTTGTTGTCTAATTAAAATGTGCCCTTGTCCTGTGATGATGCCAGTTCATTCTAATAAAATTCAAAATGCTTTACTGCAGACATGGATAAACAGGCAGGATGAGTCTCCTCTCACTGTACTGGATACTAAGTCATTAAAATATATATATATATTCATATTCCATGGCATTTCCTAGTGACATAATGGAATGTCTAGTCTTTTTGTCATAGCATCAGTTGGTAAGATCAGAAACATAGTTTAGAACTACCAAAAATTTAATGTGAAAATGACTATTTTCTTTTTAAGATTTTTTTTTCATTTTTTATGTATATGAGTGTTCCATCTGCATGTATGTCTTTATTCCAGAAGAGGGCATCAGATCCCACCATAGATGGTTGTGAGTCAACATGTGGGTACTGGGAGTTGAACTCAGGGCCTCTGGAAGAGCAGTCAGGGCTCTTAACCACTGAGCCGTCTCTTCAACCCGTGAACACGATACTTGTACACAGTTTGCAGCTACTTTAAATTTCTTTGTAGAAAAGCAAGTGCAGGAAATTAAAATTTTATACAAACATGTTTGTAAAATAAATCCATAATTGTTTTAAATCTTATATTAAACTTAAATCAGACAGAGGGAAGGCCTGTTCTTGGACTGCTGCTGTAAAGAGGACCTAATACTGTTAACACAATACTAAAGAGACGGGCTTTCTTTTAAATTTTTACAAAGTTCTACAGGTTGTGTGTCTCTAGTAGGAAATTCCCATTCTTTCAGACTCTCAAATTTTTTAAAATGATTTTTTAACTGTATGAATGTGCATGTGTATGTGTGTACAGCTGAGTACAGGTGCCTACAGCAGCCAGAAGATGGTGCTGCAGTGTCCAGTGTGGGTGCTGGGATTTGAACTCTGGTCCTATGTAAGAGCAGTAAATGTTTCTGACTGAGCCATCTCTCCAGCCCCCAGGCTCTGAGTGTTTTGAGCCCTGACATGACAGCGGATGTCTCGCACCTGATCTTAGGAGTTGTAGCTAAAGTGCAAGTGCTGAAATGCTGTATGATGTCACTGTGACTTACATGTACATGGTACACCCTGGACACAAAGGAAGCTTGTGTTTGGATTTGGATCCCAGCCTCAAAATGTCTCATTATATCTATGCACACACACATTCTAAAATCAGGAAAAAATACGAAATTCAAAATGCTCCTGCTACCAAATACTGTGGACAAGAGCTACTCTATCCCAGCATAAATTTGCAAGTACTATGTCTTTAATATTCACAGAAGTTTTGCTGTGGCTGTAACTCTCTCTGATCTTTTACCAAAGAATGACCTCAACTGCTGGCTAATCTCAGTTTATAGCTGGATGATGTAAAGTTCAAGGCCAGCCTGTCTCAAAAACAACAATAAAATCAGATCTTTACACTGGCACAGTAATTTGTTAAATCTAATTAAAACTAAAAATTACATTATATAATTAACAAGGCCAATTTGTAATGAAATAACTATAATCCTCATGCGCTATTAATAGAACAGACGCCACTAGAAGTATTGAGGAGGACGGTGGGTTGACACAGGCCGAGCTCAAGGTCAGAGCATGCAGCAGCAGCAGCAGCGCAGGGCATGGGAGATGCCCACAGCCTTGCTGCAAGGGCACACAGAGCAGCAGAGCATGCGCAGGACGGGAAGGCAGGGATGGTTCCCTGTGGAAAACGGCAGAACGTGCTCACAACTAGTATTCCTCTTCCCTACAAACTGCACTAAAGCAACAGAAACGAAGATTTAAAAACAAACAAACAGAGGTAGGACTAGAAAGCACCAGGCACAGTGGTGGCGGGCAGGGAATAATGCTATACCGAGAACAACTAAGTGGCATCTATTTACTTGACATGGAGGACCACACACATGCAATCTTCCTAACTCCAGGGATACTAACAGCAAGCAAATGCCAGCAGACAGCAACAGACCAGAATCTCAGCAGAGTCAGAGAACAGCTACAAAGACAGGACAGGAAACTCCCTGGAGGAGATGGCCTAAAGCATAAAATGACTTGAAAGCAAACCCGATGTCATTTAAGATTATTTTAAATTACTAGTATAGTTAGTTATGTTTTCCTTAAATCAAATACTTTTCATAAAACAGTATCTTTAAATAACACATCTGTTTCAAAAAAAAAAAAAAAAAAAAAAAAAAAAAAAAAGTCCCTTCAAGGACAGGATGCAAAAGCACTTATCTGCATTGCAGGGCTGAAACAGTTGCATAATTGTTTTCATTGACAACATCCATGGGCATAACGGGAAAAGCACAGGGTTCAAAAGAGACAAGGGAAAACTGAGGAGAAGCCCCGTCGTCACAGGGACTCGACTCTGGAGAAATGCTCAGGGTGGTTTGCCCATCTCTAGTCAAACGGAAGGCTTTCTGTAGGCTTTCTCTACTAAGGAATTAGATGAATGTTTCTCAACCCTGTTTTCCTTCCTAAGGGTAGTAGTATTCTGAAATCCCTGTGAGAAAATAAGCAAGCATTGTGTGTACAGGCAGCTAGGGTGGAAAGCCATTGAGTTTACTGCCTCCACGCTGGCAAGCCTGGAGTGTTCTCCAGCATCTTCAGCATGCCTCACACACTTCTCTGGCCTTGACTTGACTCCTGCATTAATTTCTAGGCTTTACTTCTGATGTGCCCCAGGCCCTAACCTTAAGTGCTGGTCCTGATAGACAGAAATTGTCACTCAAATTCCTGTTTTGTTTGGTAATTTTAACCTTTTTAAACTGAACTCTGATTCCCATTAATTCTGTCTAATGGTTCTCAATCATGTAGTGCTGGTCTTAGCATCCTTATACATATTTCTGGAGAACCACAAAATGCAAAGGTATAACACACTATAGGAGAAGAAGACATGGGTTTGTTCTGTTGATTTTGAAGTGCTGGAGATAGACCCAGGGCATTGTACATGCTAGCCAAGTGTCCACCACTGATATACATCCCCCCAGCCCTTAAAAGGCTTGTTCAACTGTTCACTGGAGGCTGCTAGAGACTACCTCAAAATGAACTGATGAGCGACTTTCAGATATCAGCCTGCACTGCAAAGTGCAGTATGTGTGTGCATTAAAGCCACTCTGCCATTACACAGGGTACCCTAGAGTCAGGGCTGCGACACATTAAAACCAGACTTCCTTTCTATAGCTCACATGTACACTTCTTAGTACCTGGAAATTCTGGACTTGCTTCTGAAATCCTCTAACTACTCTATTCCAAGAAACCTGCAGCTGTCTGTAAAGTGACTATCTAGGAACTATGCACGACAAGGAAGCGAGTGCACAAGGATGAGGTTCTTAGAAAACATCAGCAACAACCAATCACTGGAAGACTCCATTCTGTATGGTCTGACATCAGGGGCCTTAGTGACGGGAAGCACTTGGCTGAAATTCCCTGAGAAGGAGACCAGAGGGAAAGAAGGCCGAGTTGGGGAGGAAATGGGTTTGCTCTGGAATGGTTTCAGAATGAGGTAACTCTGAGATATCCAAGATGAGCTGTTAATAAACAGACGAACATACCGCCCTGGAGTTCAAAGAAATCCTAAATGCAGAAATAACCCTTCGAGCTGAATGTCAGAAAATGGAGTATGAGTTAAGAGAATAGTACTAAGCAAAAGGAAAGGCCTGAAGTGCTCTGTCACGGGCTAGCAGAGGGGAGAGTGAGCAGTAAAGCAGGAGGAAGAAGTCCGCAGGTGCGTGATGGGGCAGCAGACAAGAGCAGCCCCAGAAAGGCAGCGACAGTCTGAGTGCTACAGAGACATCAGGACGAAACTGACAAACATGCACAGCAGTGGGAGGGAAACCGTCAGGGTCCTCGAGGTGCTAGAACTAAGGAACACCCTCGACCTGTCTGTCCTTTCGGTTAGTCATAATGAAACAGGTTCCAAGACTTTCCTAGAAGGCCTAGATGGTGAGGGGGGAGGACAGCGAGGGACAGAAAACAGGAGCTTGAATAGAGAACCACACACAGCTTAGACAAAGGGCCACAGCCAAGCATGTGCCTGAAATATCAACGAGAAGGCAGCACACTATTCATATGCCTGGCAGGTGGCTCGTGTGATCTCAGCCAACAGGATGCTGTGAGTTTGAGGTCCATCTGTACAGAGCGAGACCTTGTCCAAAAAACAGACAGTACTTACAGGAGTGAGGCTTAGAGACCATGGCTAAAGAATATAGGTATTTATATCCTCAAATAACATGCAGTCTATTTTCACAAATTTCGTTCTTTATTAAGTCATAATAGCTGGAGATTTTATCAGACTTCTGGGAGCTCATGTATATATAATATAGTACATTTTAGGATGCTTTCTCAAATGTGAAAGAGAACCAGAAATTATGACTACCATCATCCAACAAAAATCCTGTTTGTTTTTTTTTTAAACAGGTACCTAATATCTACGGGATCTGAATAAGAAGCTGTGAATTAATTTCAGATATTATTTTTCATCTGTTTATTTCGTTGGATTTCTGTATATGTACCTTTTATATATGCATAGGTACATAATTCTATAATTTCATTAAAATAATACAATGATACTGTTTAGGCTTTAATCTGTTGTTTTATTATAAAGAATTTATAGCTCACAGTAGAAACTGTTTAGTGCAGATGAGAGTTAAAGCATGAATTTTCTCACCACCTGTGACAGCTCTCCAGAGATTACAAAACTGTCAGAATAGCAAATTAATTTTGAAAGTTACTGACCTCCCAAAGTTGTGAAACTACGGAAGTTTCTGATGTGAATGACAGTGTATTGTCTGTCCCCTATCGCATCCCTACCATGTGCCTTCTCAGCTCAGTTTCTCTCCTTCTCATAATGCTTCACTGCACACACTTGTCCCGTTGGATCCCTGTGATAATGTTCTCACCACCTGCGACGTCGGTCCTTCAGTTTATTCTCGGTGTTTTTAGAGTAGTCACCTGAAGTGTGGATGCAGGTTTTGACCTTGTTCCTCCTTTTCTGATGTGGATGGGGGGGGGGGGACAAACACCCTGGAGCTGCATGCCGAGCTGTGGTGGTAATCTAATTGTACTGAAATGTGATTTTGAATGTATGTTAATAAATAAAGTTGCCCGGGGGTCAGAGCTATTAGAGCCATAGCAAGAGTGTGGCAGTGGTGGCACACGCCTTTAATCCCATAGATCTCTAGGGGGCTGTACATTCAGACAGTGACGAGGCAGTCACGTGTTTGGGTTTACAATCAATGAGAAGGCAGAACAAAATACTATAAATAGACGAACAGACAGGAAATAGGTCTTTTCGGGAAGCTGGGACACCGCAGGCGGAAGGGTGAGATTTTAGCTCTGAGCTCTGACCTCTCGGCTTTCTCTTTTACACTGTTTCTGTGTTTCTTATTTAATAAGACGGTTAGTTACATCTACACCGAGCTCTGTGTGTCTTGCATGTCCAAATCACTTTATGACATGATCTTTCTAGACATCTTCCTCTGTGTCCCTTCCTACCTTTGCTCACACAGGTCATTGCATCTCTCTCTTGTCTGACTGGAGACTACCAGTTGTTATTCTTGATCCATACATAGTGAAATGTGATTACCTTGAATATCATCGTTAAATGTGCAATACTTGTTTCGATACTTGTTCAGGAGACGAAATGCATTCAGATTGGCAAAATCTTCAAACTGAATAAGGCAATTCATGCCATATCTATGAGGCAAAAACATGCATTTTAGAAGTTAATGAAATAACATTTTAAGTAGACATTTAAATCTAGCCCATAGAAAAGGCACACCAATGTCTTTTAAAAGCCCTATCTACATTCTTAGCACAAATGTATAACACATTATCAGCAAGGACTGACATCACACTTACCACAAAAAAGGGAGTGGGTTGGTACTGTGGAATCATACCAGATGACAAAAAGTCAGTCCAAAACATGATCCATAGCCTCAAGGAATTTAAAACTCAGTAGAAACAAAATCTTCTGAGTTAAATGAAAGGTATGCAAAATGTAATATAAAAGCTATGTATAAACAAAGGATTATACTTATTAAGAAAACAGTGCTTCTAGCTAGACTTAGAAGCCAACTGACACATAAATGAAGCTTTAATTGACTATTATTTTCAAAGCTGAGATGCAGAGTTTATAAAACAAGGGAAAGTAGAAGGAAAATAAAAGAAAGGTGAAAAGAAAACAACCCTGTTGGGAAAATGTCACACTCACTAATGGGCTGCAGTGCAGCGTGTGTGAGGCCTAACCTCCTCCTGGTCCTCCTGAACCCACTAACTCAGATGGTCCCCTCCATTCAGGCATGCCAAAAGCAGTTATCACAACAGTCTATGGGATAACCCTCTGGACTCCCTCATGCCTTTGCTTCTTCTGACCCTGAATACCACCGTACTCTAGCAAGACAGCAGATAAATCGAGCTATAAGGCTTGGCCAGGATCAGAGAAGTCCTGAGTATTTGTTTTCATGTTTGTGTGGACATTAACACAAACCCAAAGGTCTCGTTCTTAGTGCTATTAAAGAAAAATTCTTTGCCCTGCATCACATGTAAACATAGAGCTCACAGTTCTGGAGGCTCGAGCCCAGGGTTAAGGAGGCTGCAGACACTGTCAGGGAAGGACTGTCTCCTAACGGAGAGCATCTCCTTGTTGTACACTTGCATGGCAGAGGCGGCAAGCACATTCCCTTCCTTTAGCCTGTTTCACATGGGCACCAATCCGTCATGATGGCTGGCCCTCAAAAGGCCCTCCTCTTCAGAGTTCCACGCTGAGGTTTAGTTCTAGTGTATGGATTTTGGCGGACACAAACATTCAGATAAGACAGCTTCACCACACCTGTCTACAAGTGCTCAACCCCTTACCAGTCTCCACACCTTGCTAAGAAATAGCTTTCTTCTTGATGCCTATTCTTTCTGGACCATACTCCATAACGCTGTGACTTCTTTCATCGGCAGTGACAAATTTCTCACTACAGAGTACTGAACTTTGTCCTCATTTCCCACTTCTTCCACAATGAGGATAGTTGCAAACTCTCCAACACCACAGTGTCGGAGCTCTGTCTTGATTTATCTCTCCCTACCACCATGACTACAAGTCCATCATTCCATTGTTTTCATCCATTACATTTACTCATATACTATATCATATATTTGTCCTTAATGGTCTACCTCTTAAAAAACACTGTAACATTCACAGGTGAAATTGGGACTAAATCAATCTTTCCTCCCTCCCTTTCTCTGTAAAGTTTTTGTCATGTACAGAGGAGGGAAGGGACCTTTCTGAGACTGACTGTCCTCAAGGCAGGCAGGACACCACTGGGCTCCTCTTGACCCCTGAGAGGATGTATGTGCTCACCCATGTACTGATGAACTCAAGACTGCTTTGGAGATCTTGAGTAGGTCCCCATCATACCTCACCGCTCAGATCTCATTGCATCCTAATTAACATGTTTGGTGAGATGTCCACTACAGTGGCTGTACTGGCCGGGTCTTGGTCACCTGTGGCCTTGTGAAGACCCTGGTCATGGGATGGCACAAAGACCTGTCTGTTGTTCTTCAATGGCTGCTGTGGTAGGAGACTGGTGGGTTCTGTCTCATTTTCAATTACTAATGAAACTTAACATTGTTTTCTGTTTCTTTTCATATCTTCTTGGTCATTTTAATTCTTTCTGGGAAACTGTTCTTTGGTTCATTTTTATTGTTGTCTCTTCATTTGTTATCCTAATAAGAAGTTTCTATATTTTAAGAACAGTGTCTTCTATTATAGACACTGCAGATGGCTTTCCCAATCTCCTACACTGTGCCATTAAGCCCTTAGATGGTGTTTGTCCTAGACAGCTTTGACTGTCAACTAGATATGGTGTAAGACCATCTGAGAGAAGAATCTCAATTGAGGAATTGCCTGGATTAGTGGCCTGTGGACATGTCTGTGGGGGATTGTCTTGACGGTTAATGATGTAGGACAGCACAGCTCACTGTGGGCAGCTGTAGCTCTAGCCAGCTGATATGAACTGTGTATGAAAGCTGGCTGAGGATGTTTCTCTGGGAGCCAGCAACCAGCATCCTCAACGGTTCCTTCCCTACTTCTTTGGCTGTGAAATGAGTTCCCTTGTCAGAGATGATGCTGTGTGGAATAGCAAGTAGACCTGCCTTCAATTCCTGCCTTGACTCCTCTGATAACGGAATCACAGCAACAAAAATGAAACTAGAATAGTGTTTCTGTTGATTTTTCTACAGAAATTTCAGGTGTTTACAGAATCAGATTACTTGATGTTTTTTCGTATGGACTCACTTTTGGATAGCATGCCTATGACAGCCCTCACACGTGCATTTATTTATAATCCACACTTTCTTCTAATACCATTGTGGATTTAGGAAATGGCTAACTTTAAAATCTGATACTACTTTTACTACTAGGCCATACATTTTTAATCCCTATTTTCTACACTCTTTCCTCAGTTACACTAACACCATTTATTTCGTACTCCATCCTGTTCCTTCACCCCTGCACCATGTTTGATACAGAGGAGAGCTGGCTTCTGTTTCTGTTTCTCTATACTGCTGCTACCGACAGCCAATGTTCTGCCCCTTGATAGCATGGAAGACACGCAGTTATTCTTCACAAGCACAGCACGGGCTGCCACTGTTACTGTCATCTTCCACATGTGGACATAGGCCCACAGGGTGACACAGTAGAACAATGACACCTGAACAGTAACAGTCTGCTGCTGTGTGTATCCATGAACAATGCCTCCTCGCGGGTATCAATTTTGTTCTCAAATAACTTTAATACTGAATATGGCTGGTGGCCCCTTTGTTCTTTTTTGAATTTGGCTGCTACAATGGTAAATTCTGGGCCATAGACTATAGAGTCAGAGCTCCCACGTTGAACTGGCATCCTTGCATACTATGTATCTTCAACTTTTTTGTGCCTATATTTTCCTATCAAGAAAGACACACACACACACACACACACACACACACAAAAATTAAAAATTAAAAAATTTTAAGAAAGAAAAAGAAAGACACAAATATTGGCCACGTCTTTCACAGATTTGTAGTGGGGGTTGTCTGAAATGATAAATATGTGTTCAGTTCAATGACCAGCAACAAGTAACTACTAAATGTGAGATAACGTCCTCAAAGACTAAGAGAAAATCACCTCCATCCTGCACAGGACAGTTTGAAAATCACTCTTCAGGAAGAAGGCTAAGTCAAGACAGCGTAGACGAAGCTACTGAAGGAACTTCAGAGACTGTTTTTCCAAAGAAAATAATCCAAGTAATAAAGTCATTTTACAGCTTAAGAAAACGGTGAGATGTAGATAAATACAAGCACATTTTGTCGGACGGCACAGTGGTGACAGAAGTCCCCGCAGCCCGAGGCCGTGAGGCTGGCGGACTGGATCCTCACAGCAGTCAAGCTCTTAGAGCAACGGTTTCGGTGCTGTCGGATCTACTGAGGGTAGAAAGAGGAGCAGGGTTGAGAGGAGATTGGGAGCGCGGGGATGAGACACAGGGAAAACAACTGTACATGTACATACGGGGCCATTCTTCAGGTTCCGAGGAAGCTCTCCATAAAATCAGAAAGCGTTGTAAAGAACCGAAAAGAAGCATTTCCATAGTTATAAATTGTCACTTTTGAGAATGTCAGCAGAGAAGTCAACTCTGTGGTAGCAACTAAGTACTCCAAACACAAATATCAGCCAGCAGTCACTGATGTTTGTGATGGCTACTTTCTAATTCTCTGGTTTCTAAGGAGCCTTCAGAAACCAAAAACTGTGTGTCATTTGGGCAATGCCCTCCTACGGCTTGCTCCTGGTGCGTCATATTCTGGGGGACGAACAGCAGCAGATGCTCTGTCATTATGTTCAGAAGAAGCAGCCTGTGGTCTGTGAGGAGGTATCAGAGCCTTCTCAAGTCTATTCCCGGATCTACTAGTTACTTGGTTTGGTGGTCTGGGGCTTGTTACAATTTCTCTGTGGTTGAAATGAAGTCTCTCCAGTGTGGTTTGCCTTCAGTGTTCAGGACACAGTGTATGAAGCTATAAATCTACAATGTTTCCACGGTGCAATCTGGGAATGGTCCTAGGTAGTAAATCGGTACACAGGACACCTTATCATTTTCATGTGCCTGTTTTAGAATCATCCTCTGGAAGATGTTACACACCCGTTTTAATTTTGTGACTTTTCCTGACTGGTAGTTAGCTCTGATTTCACTCCTAGAAAGTTAAAAAGAGGTTTTCTGAATTCATCTTGTGATACATGCATCTTGTACCATGTAATAAAAAGAAAGTCATGGAAGGGATACTTTGTTCTAGCTTAAAGCAGCCTTGTCACTATGAAACCAGAAGTGACAGAACCCTCAAGAGTTAGCTCGTTCACCTCTATATAACTGTGAAAAGAATCTACTATTTTACAATCAAGATTTGGCATGAAATGGCAGGTATAAATAGTTTTAAAAGCTAACAAAAATACTCTAAAACTGACATGTAAACGTTCTGGAGCTTGCGTTCTCTGTGGCTGTGTTGAGTCTGGAAACCACCTTACTGCAGTGACTAATGGCTGTGGCCAGAACTGACTAAGCGCCAGACAGTATGGTCCACATTTCAGAGGGGCTGTCTAATTTAATTCTCTCAGCAATTCAGCAAGGAAGGCACTGTCATTATGCATTTTACAGATGAAGACACTGGAGTTCTTCATG